TAAGAAGAGATTGGACAACCATTTGTCTGAAATGGTACCATATAGGGTTTCCTGCCTGAACAGGGGTTGGACTAGAAGACCTCCAAGGTCTCTTCCAACTCTATTCTATTCTATTCTATTCTATTCTATTCTGTTCTATTCTATTCTATTCTATTCTATTCTATTCTATTCTATTCTATTCTATTCTATTCTATTCTATTCTATTGATATGTAGACTTCAGCTCCCAGAATCCCCAGAAAGCCATGTCCTAACATAACTTAGCTTTCTGACTTTTAACGGACCATAGGAGGCTATCCAGTGTTATGTGGAGATCACTAAAAGGGAGGGGCCCAATCTATCCACGTTGGGGATGGTTGAAGGGAATAAGTGTGAGGGTTTCAAATGATTTGATACCTGTAGGCCTTTCTCCTTCAGTCTAACTCGTGATGGGCAGGAGAGACCCAGAGCAAAATGCCACTGTCAAAATTCAAACATTTTGTCACCAGAATCTGGCAACATCATCTTGGATCTTGGAAGTTTTATGCAGCCCGTGGTTTACCCAACCATTCCCATTTCAGCCAGATGGAATTAAGTTTAGATCATGGGGAAACGGGGGAGGTGGGAGAGAAGGCGATCCAAGGAAGTCTCTGCATGAGACCTCATTTATCAATCCAATTTGTATCCCGCTGCAATTATGAACGTTGATTTTATGGTGGCTCATAATAACAACTGAGCTAAATTTGAGTCAGATATTCTTGGCAATCAAGGGTAAGTGGAGTCAAAGAATAAATAGCCTTAGTGTCAACGCTGCTAATATCAGATGTTCTTGCTTTGACAACAGATGGAAATGCAGCCATTTTTCTCTATTGCTTTTAGAGCTAGTTGATGCTGGGAAGGGGAATGTGGATGAGAGTCCAGCTAGTCATAACAATAATAACTCAGCCGTGGGAACCCAAGGTCATTGGGCCCAGAGTTGATAGAGTTTGGGGGGCTGGAGAGCTGGGGAGAAAGCTAATTGGGGAATGTGATTTATGACTTTATTGGAAGAGGGAATTGTGCTTTGTTACTTTGTATCAGGGGAGGGGAATTTAGTTTTTGGTTTCGACTATGTAGTGCCGATACTTTGTTTCTCGAATAAAAGATTCTTTAAGGTAAACAATGCCTTGAAGTTCTTTTGAAGAGTTTTATTTGTTGGAACCATGACACTTAGTGCTTTTCAAGGTCAGAAATCATAAGTCGCTGTACAAAACCCCACTGCATATAAAACCGTTTCCCTGCACCAATCCCAAGGGAGTGTGTGGGAAGGTAGAATTCCTATTGGATGGCAAATTCTCTTCTGTAAGCTCCATTGCAATGCATGGAAATTCCCACAAGGGGACTCTGAATCTGATAGGTCCATGGGTCACATTCCTCAGGAGTAAGATTGCTGATAGTTACTATACAGGATGGCTACTTATTAGGGCTCTGCAGAGATCCCACGTTGAAGAGTGACATGATTTAGAGTGTTTATAGGTGCATTATTATCAAGTGGTGTGGTGGCCTCGCTGTGGAACTCTTGCCTCACAATCAGGAGGCTGTGGGTTCAATCCTAGATAGCAACAGATATTTATCTCTCTGGGGCACAGATTCCAAATGGGCATTAGGAAGGGCATCTGGCTGGTAAACACTCAACTTCCTTCAGTTGCTCCTTCACCACCTCTATACAAGGGATTATAGCAGGGGTCTTCAAACTTGGCCCTTTTATGACTTGTGGATTTCAACTCCCAGAATTACTCAGCCAGGCGTGGGCCAAGTTTGAAGACCCTTGGATTATAGGATCATTAAAAGAAAAAATATAGGTGTATTATTAGCATCTGTCAGTAAAGTAAAAAGGTAAAGGTTTCCCCTTTCCAGTTGTATCCAACTATGGGGTGGTGCTCATCTCCATTTCTTAGCCAAGGGAGCCAGAGTTGTCCAAAGATGCTTCTGTGGTCATGTGGCTGCCATGACTACAATATATACCGAGTCACATGGAACACTATTACAGTATGTTCCCACCAAAGTGGTACTTATTTATATACTCTCATTTGCATGCTTTCAACTGCTAGGTTGGCAGGCGCTGGGGCAAGAAACGGGAACTCACTCCATCATCTGGTGCTTGGGTCTTCAACTACCAACCTTAACTTCTAGGCCACTGCACACCCAGTAAAGTAGCTGCATCTTTTGTGGATTTGTTTGAACGGTCCACAGTGCAGGACTCCATGAAAAGATGTGCTTGATTTAAGGTGGTTCCCAGGAGATGCTTATGTGTGTGATTAATGCATATTCTTAATTACACTCTACCCTTCAGTGTGTCATATACCTTCCTATATCTCCTCCAGTTGCTGAGGAACTATAGGAGGTTATAGTTGAATGCATGACCTACTTCCCAGAGGCATTTGATTGGAAACCATGTTGAGCTGTCTGGGTTAAGGGAAGACAACCTAAATGGTGGGATGCAGGCATTCTTAAAGAGGTGGTCCCTGCAGATCACTGTTCCATGTGACCAGGTGGGGTGTTGCAGAGCATTCTTCACTGCAATTGTTGTGTGAATACATTCACAAGACCTCCTCCAGACTAAAGGAGGAGGATCCAGAAGCTCCAAGAACTTGCCTAGTCTTCTCTTGGGGTAGACCTTCAGTTTGCTTTAGCACTGGCCTTCATTATCTCTAAACCAGCCATTGTATCTGTCTTATTTTAAAAAGTGGGTCTGGTGATACAAGGCAGGAGCTCAAGGTGATTTGCAGTCAGCCGTTTTGCTAGGGACTTGAGTTACATTTGGTATGTAACCTGGGTAAGGCATCTTGGGATGTTTCTAGTTCTCTTTTCATGAGCTGAACAACCAAGTGGTTGTTTAGGAACTATGATTGATTAGATTATTTGCATAATATTAAATTCTTAAACTGACATCTTTGAACTTTGAATGTAAGGATTTTTTTAGCTGAGAGTTTGAGTTCTTGGAAAGTTCAAGAAAGACAGCTCATTCCAGAAATTCTTCTCTGTGATGTTGATGCCTACGTTAGGAGATCCAGGATCCAGATGTTAAGTTAGTAACACAGTTGTAAAGTGAATCTAACTTCCCCATAGACTTTGCTGCTCAGAAGGTTGCAAAAAGTGAACACGTGACCCTGGGACACTGCAACCATCATAAATATGAGCAAGTTGCCAAGTGACCAAATTTTGATCATGTGACCATGCTGTAACAGTTGCAGTGTGAAAAATGGTCATCAGTCACTTTTTTCAGTGCCGGTGTAAGTTCGAACGATTACTAAACAACCACGAACTACCTATATCAGTGATGGCGAACCTTTTAGAGACCGAGTGCCCAAAAACTGGCCCTGCCCCTGCTCCACCCCCTGCCCCGCCCCCGCTCTGTCCCCCATCCCCTGCTCCACCTGCCCACAGGACCACTCACCGCCTCCAGGGCCCACCGCAAATCACCCAGGCAGCCCAGCAGCGCTATGGCAGCCACACCCTCTGCCCGCACCCTGCAGTATCAATTGCATGATGGGGTGTGAGGGCAGAGTCTTGTCTATGCTGCCTGGCTGCCATGTCCTTGGCTGCGCTGCTCCATGTGGGCCACGCTCAGGGGCAACTCTCTTTCAGGGGGGCTGCTGGAGAGGAGGGGGTTGTGGGGGGAGGCGAGGCTGGTGCAACAGCATGTGTGCCCCAGAGAGGCACACGTGCCATAGGTTCACCATCACTGACCTATGTAATTTGTCAGATTGGAAATATTGGAAATATTAATTAAATAGAGAGGCTATTTAGGGAATAAAAGCAATTAGGAAGCAACTAAAATGTATGTGTTTATGAAATATCTGGTATATGCGAGATAATAGATCTATAGCTACATCTGTATTTCTTTATATCTTTAGGGATTACATAATGTTGGTAGATTCACCTTTTGGAACTTTTAAAAATCCCTTTATTTCTTTCTTTCAATAATTTCTCTTGATGTCAGAATTTGACAGTTTGGGACAAGAACACATTTGTCATTATAAAGCTTGTTCACTTAATGTCTTTTTCCAGAGACAGATAATACCTTAAAATGATTAAATGAAAACGAAGAATTTATGTTGGATTTGCTTGCATGCTTAGTCAATTGTTGATTAATTTTAAATCATGTTTCTAACAACGTGGCAGGCTGCAACTCACCTTGAGCTCAGACCCATCTTTTAAAAAAATTAGGATACAAAGAGATAATGCAAAACAGCAACTGTTTTGGCCTCCAAAGCCTACAAGGAGCAAAGATAATGTGGAAGACCACAAAGAAAATTTATGGGACACCCACAATAGAAAATGGGCTTTCAAGGACATATTTTCACACCCCCAATAAAGTATGGATAGATCTTTCTACTAGGATAAATTGCCAAATTTAGAAAGCAGTTCCCCCTAGGTTAGCTAAGCTGGCCCTGAAGGGTTAGGTTTGGATCAGGATTTGAAATTGAGGTTCTCAAGCTCCAATCTAGCCTGCTAATTCACAAAAAGTTGGTCATTGATTAGAGCTTAGCTATCCCTTTTCTCGGATTCGAAGGCTTCTGAAGGCTAGTTTACTGTGTTATGCAAAGAACACATGCCTCTGGTTTCTTATCAACATAACTGGAAGAAGTTCTACATTGTAAAAGATGAGAGCAGCTCTATTTGAGTCAGTAGTGGAGCTTAGAGGTGGAGTTACCTGTTGGTAAGGAAAGCCCTTACTTCAGGGGTCTTCAAACTTAGCCCTTTTATGACTTGTGGACTTCAACTCCCAGAATTCCTTAGCCAGGCACGCTGGCTGAGGAATTCTGGGAGTTGAAGTCCACAAGTCATTAAAGGGCCAAGTTTGAAGACCCCTGCCTTACTTTCTAGATGAATTGCAGCCTTCCAACTACATTCATGTTGTCCAGCATGGAATAAGGTCTCCTGTCTTAGGCAAAGGGTTGGACTAGAAGACCTTGAACCTATTAGTCTATGTTCTGTTCTGCTTAACCCTTTTCTTTCTCCCTCTCTCACTATTGTTAAGATGACCTGTGGACAATCCAAGAGGAACTGACAGTATAACTGAAGTTACCAAAGCCATGAAGACCCATAACACCTCAGAGAAGAAAACATCAGGATCCTCCGGTCCTTCCCGATGGCACAGGGGCAGGTTTCGGCGCAAGCCCTCCCCGCAGATGGTGGTGAAGGGACAGCTTCGGATGCGCTCACCCTCAGGAGTCTTCGTGATGGTGGGGATCTCGGTGGTCTTAGTGGGAATGACCATTGCTGTGATTGGATATTGGCCTCACCATACAAAGTCTGGAAGTGGTAGGCCAGGGAACTCTAGTGTTGCAGGAGACATCAGGAAGGAAATTAAGGTTTCTCCCCAAGCCCACCCCTTCCTTCACAGTGAGAAATTGAAGCTCATTGGACCAGTTGTCATGGGTGTGGGACTCTTCATCTTCATCTGTGCTAATACTTTGCTGTATGAAAACAGAGATATGGAAACTCGCTTGTTGATGCAGCAGGAACTCTATTCCATGGGCCTGAATTTCCCACAGGACACGGGACCAACAAGTGATTACTTTCAGAGGAGAAGGACTACTTCATCTACCCTCAGGGCCAATGCTGAATGTGTAGAAGGCTACTACGAGGTGGACCTTTCTTCCAGTGGCTTCCAATCTTGCTCCAGCCCTGTGAAGAAATGGGTCAATAGCTGCAATTCCAGCAGGCTCCAAACCACGACCCAGTTCTTTCATCACAAGAGCCTCTCACCTTCGCTGTCCCTCTTGAGCATCCATTCTGACTGCAGCAACACCCTGCCAGAGAATGAAGCCTTCTCCTTCGCTCGTGGAGCAGAGTCGGTCCTCTCTACAGCTGTCAATGCCCTGCCTTTGCCTCTCATTAAGCTTAATAACTGTCTTCTTGAAAAGCAGAGTGTTTCCCAGGTGGGTATCCAGGACTTGGAAGGCAGTTGTAGGTTGCCAGAGGAGAGGGAAGAGATACGGAGATTCTCATGGGCTCTTCTGCCTGGATGCAACCATATTTTGCCCAGGAAGGACACACTTAAAGGCAGCCACATAGTTATTGATATGGATAGCACACCCCACTCAGGCAACTTGGTGGATAAATTTCATGAATGTGCAAAGAGAGTGTTCCCACATTTAGGTCATTCTAAATCCTTGGATCTTGGCCAGCGAAGAACGGCATTGGTGGCACCAAGCATAGAAAGGAAACATAGGAGCTGGCCTAGGCTGGACCACATTGACCTACTCAACTATGCAAAACTGGAAAGCCAAGGAGAATCTTCTGATAGGCTTTTGGAAGCATCAAAAGAGCTTTTTAGGGGGGAGAGCATTTCATTATCCCAGGAAATGCCTGTGAAAACAGGTCCTATCATTTGATCTGGCACCTAAAGGGAACTGTGTTATTTTGCTATGTCAGGTTAGGCATTGCCAAGAGAAGGCAGGCTGATACATATTTGCGATGAGCATTGCAATGCTGGCTGCTTAATTCATCAGCCAAGGTCTGTTGTCAATGGAGAAATACTTCGGATGGACTTTCTTCCCAAGGCTCTGCGGTTTCTTGCCTTAACTAAAAGTCTGATTGAGTGTGAAAAACTTTGCCATGAATGGACTGCATATGCCAGGTTGCGTATGTCTGTGTAGAACCACAAGCCCTGGTTAGGTCTGTGAGCCTGAAGTTCCATGTCACACAACCGGGCTGCTAACAATGCATTTGTAAGGGCTGCAGGGAAGAGTCAGAAAATAGCACGACTTCAGAAATCCTAAAGCGATTTAAAAAAATCATTTTATACAAGGATGCAAATTTCTCAGTTCTTTGAAGCTCAATTACAGTTCCTGCCTGAGGTCTCATAATACTCGGTTAGGAATACTACTTTATTTTTCTTTTAAAGACAGTTTGAATACACTTGTATTGCTGATCTCATCATTTGGAAGCTAGTGATTTCTAAAGTAAAAAAAAAAATCCTGTTTTTTCTTTTATGTGCTTTATTTTTAGGGAACCAATGAGTATGTAAAATGTCTATGGAGATTCCCAATCATCCAGGTCATGGTTATCCCAAAGATGCTTTTTCCAAAAAGCAACTGGGCTTTCTTGGGGTATTTTTCCCTTTGAAAACATTTCGCTTCTCATCAACAAACCGAAGAAGCTTCTTGGATGAGAAGCGAAATGTTTTCAAAGGGGAAAAAAACAAAGTCCAGTTGCCTTTTGGAAAAAGTACTATTGGAAGTGTCTAAAACCCTTCAAAGTAGGCCGTGTCAAGAAAGAGTCTCCAAATTTTACTAACACTCTATTGAGTGTCCTCACTTCCATCCCCACTTTGGGGACTATACTATTGTTTACTGAACAATTGTTGAATATCTTGTTCAAGGCCATTTCCATAGCCTACTACCAGTGGTGGGATTCAGCCAGTTCGCACCAGTTTGGCAGAACCGGTAGCTAATTTTTTGTTGCCCAGGCCCGGAATGGACTTCTGGAAGTGGCATCCACACAGAGAACCGGTTGTTCACATATTTGAATTCCACCACTGCCCACTACAATATGGTTGTTAAAGTGTCTCATACTATTTAAATCTAAGTAATTACTAATGTCATATGTCTATGGAGGTTTCATCATCCAGGTCATGATTGTCCCAATGGTGCTTTTTCAAGAGGCAACGGGACTTTCTTTGTTTTTCCTTAAAGACATTTTGCTTCTCATCCAAGAAGCTTCTTCAGTTCAGTTCTTCAGTCACAATTGAAGAAGCTTCTTGGCTGAAAAACGAAATATCTTCAAGGAAAACAAAGAAAGTCCTGTTGCCTTTTGAAAAAGCACCTTTAGGATAGCGATGCCATAATCTTTTTCAAGAGATCCCATCTTATGTTTTGTTTTTTCTTTTTCATTAATCTTTTATTTTTCAGGATGGATTGCAGTCCATAAATAGGAGAAAACACTAAAATGAACTGAAGAGAACCAAAACTTTAAAAGATTAAAATAGCCATAACACATGAAGAGAGACATAAGAGGGAGGTGTTTAAATAAGGACCAGCTGGACACAGCTAGAAGAGGATGCTTAAATCTTGAATGCCAGAGTAAAAATAAAAACAAACAAGGGTGGCAGAGGAAGGCTTTCCAAAGTTAGAGCATCATGTTAGAGAAGAATCTCATATCCGCATGGCACTGTTCTCCCAACCATGGGATAATGATGATGTTGATGTTGTTGTAAAGGACTTTGGAGGTCATCTAATCCAACTCCCCTGCTCAAGCAGGAAACCTTATAATCCTATGATCAGAGCCATCCCACAAAACCTAGTGTTAAGATAGGTTCATAGAGCTATATTTCCTTAAGTATCAGGGCCCCAAACTGTTAAAAAAGAGCCAAATTGGTGTTAAGGCACCAGGCCAGGAGCCAGAAAACTGAGTTCTGGTCCTGCCTTAGGCACAAAACCAACTAGGTGACCTTAGGCCAGTCATTCTCATTAGCCTAGGAAGGAGACAATCGCAAACCAAGATTTCTGAAAATCTTGCCAAGAAAATGTCAGGGATTTTTTCCAAGCAGTTGCTAGAAGTCAAGATTGAGTCGAAGGTATAAAAACCAAAAAATCCATCTTTTAAAGCAGGCATGTCCAGCCCATGGTCCACAGGTCACCTGAGACCCTGAACAGCTAATAATGCAGCCCCACAAAAAATGTGATTTATATACATATACATTTATTTTTGATTGTTCTGAATATTTGAATCCCAGGTGTAGACATGTTTCTTAAAAATCAATAAGAAATAATGAACTCCGGGAGGTAGAATAGTCTTTTATTACTGAGCTTTCATCAACTAGCTGTTGACATCATCAGAGTAAGGGCTGAGAATAAAGGAAGACCTACATGTGTGCTTGTGTGACTGTTTTTAACGGTCAATACATAGAAAGTATATATAGCATGCTCACAACACACTCGCTCACTGTGGTGAGTCTGGCTCTGATGTGCGAGCCAGTAGATGTCCTCGTGCCATCTACTTACGTTCCACGAGGACATCTACTGGCTCGCACATCAGAGCCAGACTCACCACAGCTGAGCACGAGAGAAAACGACCACGCCAATTGCACCCCTCTCACGAGGACACATAAAGTCGATGTGCGACTGCGCATAGCACAGCAAGTTCTACGCACCGATCAGCTGAGAGGAGGGATATTTGAATTTCAGTCGGAGACCGGCTTTTGCAACAAAGCCAGAACTATTAGACTAAATGTGAGCAAGTGTGTTGTGAGCATGCTATATATACGTTCTACGTCTTGACCGTTAAAAACAGTCACACAAGCATACATGTAGGTTCTCCTTTATTCTCAGCTGTTACTCTGATGATGTCAACAGCTAGTTGATGAAAGCTCAGTAATAAAAGGCTATTCTACATCCCAGAGTTAATTATTTTTTATTGATTCTTAAGAAACATACATTTATATACATTAACAATCTTATATAAAAGTAGTCCTCAATTTACAATCATTCATTTAGTGACCGTTCAAACTTACAATGGCGCTGGGGAAAAAAGGATCATTTTTCACACAGTCCGTGTATCATCCCTATAGTCGCATGATCAAAATTCGGACGTTTGGCCACTGGCATGTATTCATGACAGTCATTGTGATCACACAGTGATTTTTAGGCCAACAGCTCACTTCCTGACTTCCTAGGAATATTAGTGTGCAGGAAACTGAAGGGGGGAATGCTGCATACTCCTTGGCCTTGGAGGAACACTAGAATTAAAGCTAGATTTGCAGAAAAACGTCACAGTGATGTTATTTTTGGAGAGTGAAAGAATAAAAATTTTTATGGCTTAAAACAGGTCTCCGTCTGCAGCAGTTTCCCAGAACCGAGTGCAGTTGCTAATGCAGATGATCTTCTGCACTGGGAAGGAGGCCAGCCGTTTTTCATCGAGGGAGCCTCATCTGAAGAACGGGCTGGGGGGAGCGGGGGAGAAGCTCTGGGCCTTAAAGGCAGATGAATGTTTGTAAAGAGATTTAAATCATACTAGTGATCCATTTGGTTGAGCTATTGGGTGTGATTGTTTCCCTTTAGCACCACAAGTAATTGGAGGGAGGGAATGAGGAAGGAAGGAAGGAAGGAAGGAAGGAAGGAAGGAAGGAAGGAAGGAAGGAAGGAAGGAAGGAAGGAAGGAAATTCCAAGAGGATGGAAATACTCAGGAAATTTGAGAGCTCCTTCTGACCAATCTCATCCAACAAACATTTCCAGATGGGTAAACATGAAATTATTTGGACTATAGGCCTTTCCAGATGCTGCTGCTCTTGCTGTGGTATCAACCACATCAGATATCAGGTTATTATAGATCTAAGCTTAAGACCAAACAAATAAATAAAAATGCCTTATTTTTTTCCTTCTCTTTACATTTTTCCTTCTTGAATTGAATTCTGAATGCTTCTTGCTACATTCCTTTTGCATTTTTACAGATTCTTTGCCATGGTCAGTTAACCATCATCAGGGATGTATAAAAAAACAACCCTTTTGTTTCAAGCCTGATTTCAAAAGAAAGAACAGGATACTATTTATTTGTTTGTTTGTTTGTTTATTTTGCCATCTTTTCCCTATTCACTGCTCTTTCGTGGGAAAATACTGCAGGCTGAAACTTGACCTCGTAATTACATGGGAGTAAATATCACTGAAGGCCAGAAGTCTAAATATATTCCCTTCAATTACATAAATAAATTACACATTGCCCCCTTCCCCAGAAAACGAGTTACTAAGTGAACTCCTTTAATTCATGGGTGAACATCCTTTGCCAAAGTTCATACCAGATTTTTTGGAGAAAAAAAGTCCAACCTTTCCAGCAGGCTCTTCCTACTCAGTGGAAGGAAAAAGCTGTGCAGAGAGAAAGAGAGATTAAAAAGGAAAGACCAGACAGAAAGGTGGATTTTTCTGTTTAGCCCCACCCACTTTGCACAGGTTCTTCCTGCTGGAATATAGGTAATCCTGGACTTACAGCCATTCATTTAGTGACCAATAAAAGTTATAACAGCACTGAAAAAAGTGACTTGTAACTGCTCCTCATATTTACGACCATCATAGCATCCCCAGAATCATGTGATCAGAATTCAGGCACTTGGCAGCTGTCAAGTATTAGAAGACTGCTATCACATCTCCCCTGGCCCTTTTCGTTCTTAGGTTAGACATACCTAATTTCCTCAATCATTCATCATATTATTTAGCCTCCAGATCCCTTATCATCTTTATTCCTCTTCTCTTCACTCTTATACCTCTTTGCATATCCTGGAGAAAATTCAAAGGAGAATGGGATGGGATGCAATCAGTGATGGGATTCAGCCGGTTTGCACCACTTCAGCAGAACCGGTAGCTAATTTTTTGTGGCCCAGGCCCAGAATGGACTTCTGGAAGTGGCATCCACACAGAGAACCAGTTATTCACATATTTGAATCCCACCACTGGATGCGATGCGATCCACTGAATGCAATGCAAAACAATGCAATGAATGGCTGATATCTGGAACAGGTATAATCCAGACAGGAACATTTATTGCAGGCCTGAGTAGCAATTCTTTTTTTTATTATTATTAAAAAGTTTTACAAAAATTACAAAATATACCCCAAACCCACCCAGCCTTCTCCCCCTCCCTCCCTCCCCCACTTCCCAGAGCTGAATACAGGGTAAAAAATATAATAATCATAATCTAACTAACATTAACCAACTATGTAGATAAACAAATATAATGCACTTTACTCCCTTTTAACACAGAATAAACAATTTGCAAATAAACTTAATCATATAAACAAATTAAAATACTAATTCATAAACAATACAATATAATAAAAATTCCACTATACTAAACTATTAATAATAATAACAATAATAATATCCTAAAATTTATTCATAAAATAAATGGAACTTTTTAGTCCCATATTTATTCTGAATATAATCTATCCATCTTCTCCAAACCGAAATGTATCTTTCTTGTGAATGATCCTTC